CAAAATTGTTTTTTAAGTACATATATTTACTGGAGAAAGCAACAATTTTCTTTACTTCTCTTGGTTTCAAAGCAGCAGTAAAAGTTTTCGTTTCTCTATATTTACTACATTCCTCTACTTAGAGAAAACAGAATAAATAATTCAAACCTAATATGCATTTACTAATGGAGTAGAAATCAAATCTATGCATCACAAACTTCAGAAATGATTCAAATATATAATTGAAACAACCATTAGTTTAGTAGCGTACTTCTCAACAACTGAGAATCCATATTGAGGAGATGAAGGCAACACTCCAATAGCACACTGCAAATTGCAACCATAATTTCCAAATATGCATGCTTGAAATTGAAAAAGAATTAGCCGCTTGGCAGACATGGGTTAGGCGAATTGGCCAAGGCAGTAAGCCCGTTCTCTTGCATCCAAATTTGAATCCCCCTCCCATAGATTAGATTAATTTAGAGTATTTTAGACTATCGATTTTATAAAAAATAAAAGAAATGCCCACTTGTAGCCTTGGTTAGAGTAAGAGAAGTCATTATGTGAGCTTGTATTTAGATTTTTGAAGTAATTAAGAAGAATATTGTAGTGGCTAGAAAGCATGCGTTTTCTTGTAATTGAGCTTCCAAGAGTTGTTGATCTCCAATATTTTTAATTTCATTATGCAGTGATATACAATATTCTCCAAATAACATTATGTTGGAAGGTGGAAAAAATTAATGCTTCCAACTCTGACTTGAGCAAACTTAACACACAAATGATGAGACTCATTTCTCCTTAATTCAAACGAGTCTTCATATTTATGTGGATATTGCTTTCTGATACATAAATTCACATTGTAGCCAGCCAAAGCCATCAAACGTTGTTCCATGCAGCTGGTTCTTGATCTTTGCCGGGGTTGGGCTTGGTGGAGTGAAGCATGAAGTTGCATGCTGCAACAGCCTCTGCAACTGTGAGATAAATCCATTCTTGACCTATTTTCTCAATCAACTCTGACTTGTTCATCTTCTTCATCACCTCGCTTCCCGGGTTCGCCAGTACAAGCTAAACACAGAAATGGGAACAAAATTATAGAGTTATATAAACAGATGAAATAGAAATTTGGAAGGAAATATTTGATATATTGAAAGGGACTTGCAGATTTTTGTACCTGGAGCCCCCTTCTGTCAACAAGCTTTTTGACCTCTTCAAACATGCTTATCCCACTTGTGTCTATGTTACCAACAGCTTCAAATTAAACCAGAAAACAAATTAATTTCAGGGTAAAAAATGTCACATTAATTTTCTTTATATACATATGCACTATTTGTTTCCCTTAATTACCAGTCATATCCAATATCACATATTGTAAGCTACTTTCCCCTGCAGATTTGATCCTACCTTCCTCATCATTTATCCTGAAAACAAGTAGGACTTTGGTTCAACTTTCAAATTATTATTTTTAAATTTGATTATAACATGCAAGAGTGTGTTCAGCTTTAATTAATTAGTACCTTTCTCTTTAAGTAGTTGGTATTTGCAAAGTAAATGGGAGCATCAATCTCAAGTATGAGAATTCCAGGAACATTGCTTGCATTGGGAT